GTCAGTTGCTGGCGATTCAAATATGGTGCCTGCCTGCCGGCTGTGTGCGGGAAGGACTCGCCAAAGGAGCCATGGCCTCCGCCAGCCCTTCTGCTTGGGAGGAAGCTGCCTCTCCACCTCTCGCCTGGATTTCAGGCAGGTTAGTTCCTCCCCAAGTGTCCCAGGTCCTTTCAAGCTGCTGCCCAGAGCTGGGCTCATAGGGAGCGGGTCCGAGTGAGTCCGTGCGCGGGCCCTTTAAGAGGAGAGCCTGGGGCTCCCACAGCCTCCGAGACCCTCAGGGACAGTCCCCGCTGGTTTCACATCCCGAAGTTGTGGGGATGTCTCTTCCTGGCCTGGAGCCCTGGGCTGAGGGCCTGATGGGGGGCTGGGACCCCTCCCTCCTCCGGGAAACCTCCACTGCCGAGATTCCCTCCTGGGTTTCAACCGCGGCACCAGGTGTGGGCCCGCGGCCGTGTCTCCGCGATTCAGCCCCGATCCTCCCTCATCTGCGCCCCTCCTACCACTCTCAGTGCTTCTTCAGCTCCCTGGTTGTAGGGCTTCTGTTCAGCCAGATTTCAGGAGACTCTGAGTGATGGTGGTTCTGTATTTTAGTTGTAATTTTGATGTGGTTGCGGGAGGCAGCAGGTGCAGTTGTTACTTATGCCACCATCTTGTTGATACCCTCATGACTTTTCTTTTAACCAAGGTTTTATCAGTGCTACAGAAAGGTAGCCAATGAACTCCATGGAATCTCATCTCATCCCTTCAGCCTTTGGTGGAAGTGTTCAACTTATACAATATCAAAAAACAAGTGTGGGTGTGGGATGGGGCCTCAGTAATCAGTCTTTGACCATTCATGAGTTAACTGTATTTTCTCATGAAATGTACAGCAAGCTGTCTGTAAGTATTATTTATATAAGGAAGGCAGACTATAACAGAGTCCAGTCTGGGCACTTGAGAGCTGAAAGGGTCCTTGTTGGGTTCAAAGAGCTCTTTCTGAAACAGCAAGGGCTGTATGGATGCTTTTTCTGGATCTCGGGTTTGCATAAGTTTGGCCTCTGAGGTAAGGTGAATGTGACATAATGTAGAGAAGTCAGAAATTTGGATAGATACTGAAAACACTTAGAAAATGCTTCATTGGACCCAAAGATGCTGGTACTGAGAACAGTGTCTCTGCAGGAGTTAGATGAAAGCAGGTGGAGAGCAAGCATGTTCACCTGACACTTTCCCACTAGCCCACGGTGGCTCCCTCATCTTCTTGAATGGCGCCTTTTACATAAAATGGATGATGAATATGTGAACTGGGTGTGTGAAGTTTTTAGATCCAAGTCCTGCCTTAGAGTAATATCCTTTTACATGTAATCAACACAATGTTGATTTGGTTCTGAATGGAGGGAAATCAGGCTATTTGGGACTGAAGCTCTAACCAGGTTTGGGATGTTTTCCTCCTGGCATCAGACAAACCCATTTAACTTTGTAAAATGAGTATCCTAATCTTAACATCTAAATGAGATTTGAAGCTGCAAAGGTGGCCCATGTTGTTCTCTCTCCCACTCCTTCCCCAAAGCATATGGCAGTATAACAGGTTGCTTGGCACAAAACTGGCAACTCGATTATTTGTTGAATGAAATCTAGTTGGGCAAAGGGCATATTTAAAACAAAACCAGGTAAAAACAGCCTCAAAACACAAAGGAACCCCACGGTCTGGGAAAACATATTTGTCAAGGAAGAATCTGATAAGGGGCTAATTTCCAAAGTGTACAAAGAACCCATACTACTCAGCAAGAGGAAGACAAACAACCCAATTAAGAAATGGGCAAAGGGCTTGAATAGACACTTCTCCAAAGAGGACATATGGATGGCCAAGAGACACATGAGAAAATGCTCAACGTCACTAATCATCAGAGAGATGCAAATTAAAACCACAATGAGGTATCACTTCATACCTGTCGGAACGGCTAACATCAACAAATCAACAAATGACATGTGCTGGCGAGGGTGTGGAGAAAGGGGAACCCTAGTACACTGCTGGTGGGAATGCAGACTGGTGCAGCCACTATGGAAAACAGTATGGAGGTTCCTCAAAAAATTAAAAATGGAGCTGCCTTTTGACCCAGTGATTCCACTCCTAGGAATGTATCCTAAGAATCCTGAAACATTCATCAGAAAGAATATATGTACCCCGATGTTCATAGCAGCACAGTTTACAATAGCTAAGATCTGGAAACAGCCCAAGTGCCCATCAGTAGATGAGTGGATAAAAAAGCTGTGGGACATTTACACCATGGAATACTACGCAGCTGTAAAGAAGAAGAATCTCGTACCCTTTGGGACAGTATGGATGGACCTGGAGAATATTATGCTAAGTGAAATAAGCCAGGCAGAGAAAGACAAACATCACATGATCTCGCTTATACGTGGAATCTAAAGAACTTAATAAACTGATGAACAGAATAGATTCAATGACATGGAAGCATAGATGAGACTGATGAATGTCAGAGGGATGGAGGAGGGCGGGTGGGTGGAGGGGGAGAGAGTAACCAAAGAATTTATATGCAGATATGCACAACCCAAGGACACGGACAATGGTGGGGAGAGGGACTGGGGAGGGGGAAGGGACGGGGTGGAACGGGTCATTGGGGAGAAAAAGGGACATCTGTAATATTTTAAACAAAAATAAAATTAAAAAACACACACACACACAAAAAAACACATGGAGCCTCGAAGACAGAAAACACCTAAAATGTCTGGGGTGACGAGGAACGTTCGAATGATCTGGAGCTGTCTGGAAATGAGAGAGATGGCCTGAACCATCCATTACTATCTCGATGTCCCATGGGGACAGCACCCTCCCCAACACACCACCCAGGTGGCTGGTGTAAAAGCCCATTGTGAAAACATATTCTCCACATCATGACAGGGTCCAGCACCTGCCTCAAGCTCATTCTGAGAGGGCAGGACAGTTCAGCACCAAGAGCCAAGTGGCCCAGAAAGGACCTGGAGATCCAGCAGGAAGATGGGACAGTTCCAATGGTGACCTAGACCAGGGCTTCTGGAACCTCCATCAGCTCACAAGTCCACTGGGGTCTCAGATGCAGATGCAGCTGCTGCAGGTCAGGGTGGGCCCAGGAACCTGCATGTCTTATGGCTCCCAGGAGCCTGTGCTGCTGGTCCTCTGAGGGCCACACTGGGAGTGGCTTCCCTCCTGCTCACCTGCTACTCACAGCTCAGGTTCAATTGCCTTCTAAGTCTTCACTGAGTAGACTATGCAGAATCAGTGATAAGCAACCACTTTCAAGACTTGATGAGGAAGACACCAGCACATTTAGTTAACCTCAGAAACGCAAGATTTCTTAACATCATACTTTATCAAGTTTCATATTTGTGCAGAGAAAACTGGGCTACCAGATTCCAAGCTTAATAAATATGTATAGAAAGAAAAAAAAAAAGCAGATACTTTGGGTGGTGGGTACACGACGCAATATACTGATGATGTATCATAGAATTGTACTCTTGAAGCCTATGTAATTTTATTAACCAATGTTACCCTAATTAAAAAAAGACAACTTTGACCAAAAAACCCAAAACAAACAAACAAAACAAAACCAGGTAATAACATGATTTAATAACATAAAATAAGCAAAGCTGTGAGCCCTCTTCGGTTCAGGGAATACATCTTGTAAGAAAACTGGAAACATTAAACATTAAAAGGGCAAAACACTGATATTCAGAGTAATCAGTTGTCTGTTTATATTACTGATTATATATAAAAATCTGATATCCCCCTTTTGACATTAAGTGAGTTAACCTTGCTACTCTAAGGGTTCCTGGCTACTTTCCTGATCAGATGGTACATTAAAACTCTGCCTGGCCAGATAGCTCAGTTGGTTATAGTGTCCTCCCTATACCCCAAGGTTGCGGGTTTGATCCCTAGTCTGAATACATACAAGGAGCAACCAATGAATGCATAAATAAGTAGAACAAGTCAACGTTTCCCTCTCTCTATAATCAATTTAATAAAACCCCCAAACTCTGCCTTGGCACTTGGTAGCAATGCCTTCAGTAAAATTACCCCTTTATATCCTTGCTATATAAAGACCTAAGGCAGAGGTCTGTGAGGTTAGAAAGTTCTGAATTAAAGAGGCAGAATTTAAATCACAAAAAATCAATCCAATCCACTATTTCTTAATAGGACAGCTGGTATTTTGGTTTGTGGTGGGAGGCTTCAATGAAGTTTTGCCCCTTGTTTCTTTTGTAATACAAGAAAAAAATCACTCAAAAGTGAAACTTTTAGTATTAAGCTAAAGTAAAATGATTAATATGGTTCCTTAGATTTGTTTTTATAAAAATAAAACCCACCACACTATATTGGGTAAAACCATTTTATTAACTGACCAAAGCACTTCATTTTGTTTTCTGATTTGAGGTAAAACCATTAAACATGGTTCACAAGAAAATACAAGGAAAATACTATTCAACTACAATTACAAGAGTTTGAAACTTCACTAGTTGTTCACGTAACACTTTTACAAGTTCATACAACTGTACCTGTACAGTCTACTTAAGCTAAGTTTATTGTTAACCGTAAGATCAATATCAAAGACCTAGACACTTGACTAACTACTCTTGCAGTGGCTCGTTTCATGACAGAAGAGTTAACTGTTACCACCTTATGAAAAACCACTTAGCTAATGATGTGTACTGTTTCCTCATTATTCAGGGGTGTGTGAAGGCTCTTAGGAGAGCAAACACCAGATCTACATGCCCCTCATGTCAATCACGTAAAATAACCATTGCCGCACCATGAACATGGATGGAGGTTGGGAAAACAGCCCTATAATGTTTGTGTATTTAGGTTTTTAGGCAAGCCAGATGATTTTTCCCAAAGCTTTCTTTTGAATGTTCAGATTGTGTTTTAATCCTCACTGTAGAGAACAGTTAGTGAGGGCGTCCAAGTGTCTGAAGGAAGACAAGTGTCTGAAGGAAGACAATGATGCCGTCTAGAAACAATTAATGTATTTCTTCCAACTAAGCCCAGCTTTGAGATTTAATTTTATTACTGGATAGCTCTCTCTAATGAATATCAAAGACTTTGGGACACTGCAGATTTGCTTTAGAGATGGAAATCATGCAGTTAAGTCCATTGAGAATAAGGAACTCACTCACTTTAGAGAACATCATGACTAAAAGTTGATCCTTTGTTCTTAGTGCTGGAAGGACTTTACACATTTTACATTTTTACCTGTTTGAGGGAAATACTCCAGTCTTACCCATGTTTCAGGAAAAACAAATTTAAATTCAGCCTGTACTAACTAAAGATAGAAGAAACACAGCACTAACATTTGTGTTACAGCACTGCAGTTCACTTTCTGCATTTATGACACACAAACATCATGCACCCTAAGAAGTTAATTTTTTCAGTGTCACTAGTGATGTTAATTAAAAAAATTTACAGCAAGTTCAAAACTTCTAAATATTGAAATCACCACATTTTAAAGACAGACTGGAATGTTACAAATGATTCTGCAAAATACAAAAATAGATATGCATCCTTGAATGCTTTAATCGTTTTTCCGAGCATTCTCATCTTTTGGTTCTTCCTCATCTGAGTACACGGTGGGCTCCTCCCCCTCCTTCAGCAGTTTGCCCACATGATGATACTTGACTGGAGGTGGAGAAAACACAAATGGTCATTCTCGTGCTTGATAGGAAATCACTACCACATTTCACATTAAAATGTTTATTACAGGCCTTTCAATCTCCGCAGCAGTGAGTTGGGCTTCTGAGAGTTTTGTTGAGAAGGCAGAAATATAAAACAGCAATTCTGACAATGAGTGTGCAATAAGTATACAATCAGAGTGTTTAGAAGGCTCATTATGAGTTAGTTAGAATATGCTTTAGAAAATGTGCAGAAAGATTTGGGGAGGGATTTCTAGAATATGAAGATACCACATACAAAAGCATGCCAGTGAGACTGAACATACCTGGGAAGCAATAAAGAGACCAAGTTGGCAGTAGAAGAGGAGTAAGGCTGTCCAAGCAGTGTGGGGAAATATTATGAAGGATGTGGAAAGCCAGCCTGAGGAGTTTGGACTTATCCTATAGGTGGCAAAGGGCACTGAAGGTTTATGACAAAGGTATGACAAGGTAAAATAGTGCTTTGGCAGCAACGGTATCACTATGGTGTTGAGGGCAGATTACAGTAAGGAGAGACCAAAAACAGGGTGACCAGGAGGCCAGCAAGCATGGAAGGAACAAGAACCAGGAATGGG